ACCATCTACCAGACGGGATATCTCTGCAAATGAACATTTGTTTTTTCCTGCTTGGAACATTTAGTTCCTGTTCATTCAGGGCAACTTATAAGACGTGCAAATAAGCTTTAAGATCTTTATCGCCAAATTTATCATGAACTTAAATGTAGGAATCACAGCAAACTGATGAGAGCGGGAACATAGAAAGCAGTATTAATCACAGCGCAGGATACATAAATTATACAATGAGATCAGATTTAGAGCTCAGATCTTAGAGTCGCTTCTCTTGCACACTGAAATGAGCCAGTTGATGTGGTTCAGGCATCTGATGCCACCTGGACACCTTCTAGGTGAGGTTTTTAGGCCAGCTGGGAGAAGATCCAGGGACAGACCCAGGACATGTTGGAGACATAATGTCTTTCAGATGGCTTGGGAACACCACAGTGTCCCCCAGGAAGAGCTGGAGGAGGTGGCCAGGAAGGGAAGTCTGGGCATTTCTGCATCGCTGCTGCCCCAGCTACCAAGACCCAGATAAGTGGCAGAAAATGGATGGATGACTAGATGGATTTAATTGCAAATAAATATATCTTCAGTTGAGCACCCTGAGAAGTCATTTATTTTTGCATTTCATTGGGGAAAATGAGGACTGTTGAAAGAATTACCTTTAGAGGTGCTTTCAAACAGCCATCCATGTTAAAAAAAAAAAACTTTGAATATGAAAACCCCTTAACAAGCAAAATATAATTAATGCTGGCAGCGAAAGCCAGAAGATGTGAAGCATGCAGTCCTAATATCTAAGGTATGGCCAGAGGTTTCCAGTGATTTACTTCATCTGCCAGATGCACAACATGCTTTTTCTTTGCTTTTAAAAAAAAGAAAGAAAAAGCTTTGCTCAGGACTATCTATTCCAACAAAAAGATAAATAGCAGCATCAATCACTCTCTCCTAAAAGACAGTAAAAAAGAGTGAACAGAGAAAAATAAGCACTGGGAACACAACTACAAGCCAGAGAAGCATAAAGAAAGTCTGCTTAAATCTGAAGGAGATATTTAACACTTCCAATCGTTCTTTGAAGTGATTTTTTTATATTCTAGCCTTAGGTAAGAGCTTAAACATGTGCAGATATGCAGTCTAGTACCTTTCTTGCATGTATGCCCTTTATCAGAATAATTTTTAATCAAAATGTAAAACAAGCAAAGATAAGTTGAAGTCAATTCTACTGGACAGAGAGTGAACCGGTGTGTAAAATATGGGATCTACAGCGACCTCCAGAGGCAGAAATTATAACACTTACTCAGGACAATGCTGCATTTATTCGGAAGCGAAACACATGCTGTAATTAGTCTGGCTCTATATGTTTTCCTAGAAGCATTGTGCATGATTCATGTTTAAAGGAAACAACTCTTAGCATTGTTGTCATTGTCGTAACAGACAACAGAAATGTGAGAAAGGCCTGAGTGCTGCAACATAAATATACGAGACTATTCGTAGATGTTTTGTTCTGTTCTTTCTTAATGTCCTCTGAGTTTTAAGCAGAAAGAAGGAGAACTAAACCTAAACAAAACTTCTGCTACAGATAATAAGCTCTGCTATGCATACTGGTTCTTGCATGTTTCTCCCTTCTGCCTGCCGTCTGCTTTGTCTTTCAGCTGTAAGGAGGATGAAACAGTAGTGCAGATAATTTCAAACATCAGTCTAGCTCTGCTTTCTTGGCTCACATGTTCACACACTTGGCTGTATTCTGGCATCTGTCAGTGGCAAAACAATATGTGGATCAGAGGAGGGAACACGAGAAAGGTGAAAGAAGTTTAGAAAATTGCACAGGAGTCTCTGGAGAACAGATTTCAGTACATCCAAGGCTATCTTTCTCTTTTCAGTCATCATATACAGAAGCTACAAAAGACACTTCCGGAGAGGTGAGCTTTCCAATACAGCCAAAGTGAAAAAGAGAAACTCTAAATGGCAGCGTATATTAAATATGGCTACATCTAAAATGCTTTGACTGCCATACGTTTATTGCACAAATTAGCCAACAGTTTTTAAAAGCCTGTCCTTCAGTCCAATTTCCTGCACAGGCCCCCTCGTTGAACTGCGTATTTTCGTGCATGAACAAGGGGCTCATTGTAATGCGCTGGTAACATGGATCCCTAAATTGATAGACACATAACAGGGTCATCATTCATTTGCATTTTAACAAGTCCTTCAGCTATGACACCAGATCGTGTGAATTCATTACCATACAGGGCTGCGGTTCATCCAGCCATCTATTAGTGACGCCAATTAGTTTACTGGGACAGGTTCACGAGATGCAAATAGGCCCTCAGACGCACCAAGCAGAGCTACCCCAAACTTTTTCACATAGAGACTCTCATGACAGACACACATTCAAAAAAGGTTTTTGTCCCAGTGACCCACATCTGTGAGAAGTTGAAAAATATGTTGTAAGCATATAATTTGTGGTAAGTGGGGTAATAAATAAATTCATCTTGTGTGTCACTCTAAGCTTTAAGTCTCTGAACATCCTTATTTTGAAATCTGTGAAATGGTATCCCTTTATCTGGACAGGAAGATATATTGCTGCTGATGTTGCGCCGTGTCCTAGATTCAGTGCTCTCTTCTCTCAGTTGTCACGTAGGAAACGTGCAACCTCAATATCTGTGAAGCATTTCGTACTGCTAAAGGCATCCATAACAAAGACTGATAAAAAAACAACTAAATTAAAACAAACCAAAAAAAAAAAGAACATCAGCTTGATTTCTGCTCGCCCGTTACTGGTGGAACAAACCAGTCCGGTGTAAAAATGTGCAACAGCCTGTTTATTGTAAACTGCCACTTACAGGTTAGACAGGCCCTGCCACCAGAAGCCTTGATGTTACTTCAGGAGGACAGAGCAAGTCACAGGTTTCCCGTGAAAGAGAAGTCCAAGACAACTCATGTGTCACCCGGGAAAGATACGGGCAGTTAAAACCTGTCAGCCAGCACAGGAACCTGTTACTTTTATTCACCCTTTTGTATCCAAGGTCACTGCTGGGCCTGTATTAGTCATTTCAGAAAAGAATTTCCTTCTTCCTCCTTTCATTTCAGACTCCGATTGACGCCTGTAAGAGTGATTTCTGGTGGAGACAAAACAAACATTTTAACTACACCTTATAGACATTTTGGATTTGTTCTTCTGACTCACACAGCTTAGGCAGCCACACTTTATTATAGGTTTTAACCGTGCTATAAGCATGAACAGCAACAGAGGCACATTAGTTTTTCTCACTCCAAAAATCATCATAGCCTCTGTTAAGGAGACAGTTTCCTCAAATATGTTAACATGTCTTTGGATTAGTTCAAATACAGATATAAGCTTTCACAGAGGAAAGACAAGTTTAAGATTTTAAGAAATTCTTGGTATTGGACAAGCTCATAGTGTACAGATGTGACTCAAGCAATCATATTATTAGTGATTAATATTTTTATTGTGTTTAAGCAGAAGATAAATTGCTGTTTAGTTCATAACATGTCAAAGAAGTAAAACAAATGATCATTTTACTGTTAACTGTGGCTCTCAGAGCTGTCTGTCTATTTAGTCACTTAATGAATAATAAAAACACATTAAATAAAAATGCCTTTAAGGCCTTTGTAACAGTTAACTGCAGATAAAATGTTAATCAGTTTTATTCTTTGTGCTTTGAAGAATCACCCTAGTTATACACTGCAATTTTGATATTATTATGAAAGTAGTAAAGCGTAGATTGTTCCTTCTAACAAATAAGACCAGGCCTGATAACATGTCTCAGATGCATTATAATGAACATGGGCTCTGAAATGTTTTGAATAAAACCCACATACTACTACTGCATCAGAGCCACACCTGGAAAAGGTTTGAGGATTTGCCACAGGAGACACTTTATAGGGAAATGACAGCGGTATTATCAATAGCTGTATTCTCAATTTTGTGGATTCTGATCTACTGCCATGGCTTTCTGATGCACCTACAGGCCAGCTGAGCCATCATTAACACTTTGTTCTTTTCCTACCTCGGCAAGTCAAAACAGGTTTGGTATATATTAGCAGGTAGGCGCCTCTTTGCAGCCACTGAGGCACACAAAATACCTTCATGGTTTGACCAAGGCGTTTTGGCTTGGGGGCCAAATAAAACATACAGGCAACATTAACAAGGGGATGCCAACATCACTTCCTTTATAGGGATGGGGGCATGTTTTTGTCCAAAGGTGCATTATGAAAAAGTGAAAGTTAAACTGTGTCTATCTGTCTATCTATCTATCTGAGGGATCAAGGTTAACTGTGTTGAAGAAACAAACTCTGAAGCAGACACACAACCTCTTTACTTTTTACTACAAGCTGCAATCACCCATTCACACACACCATACAGTATTTTTCTATCCATCACTTGGAGTGGAGTATCTTGCCCAAGGACACTTATCTGACTAGTAGATGAACTTCTCTGCATCCCTTCATCGGGCAAAGAAAACTTTTTTTATTGATTGAACAAAAAATTATATTTTTAACTGGATGGACAGCACACACTTTTAAAATGAGGTGGCATTAAAATGAAGTAAGGTAAGTGAGCAAGGTAGGTTTGTTGACTTTACATCTTCCTAATTATCTATCAACTACGTAAATACGTAATAAATTGTTTGTAACACTTGAAAATGTTTATCAGCGGTGCATTAACAAACACACTAATATAAATGCTCGCATTTGCTTACAACTACTACGCAATATAAATAATTTATCACATCTTCATCTGGTCATCATACATAATACATGTCCACCTCTGGAAGTGGTGCAGCTGGCTTTATGCCTGTGTCTTAAGCATTATCCAGCACCACTGGAAAACCCAACCACATGTTTTTACTTCCTGTCAAGGTGGTGCACCTGCTCATATCAGCTCCACCCCCTTAGCCTCCCTCCCTCCCTGCCTCCTACCCCCCCCCCCCCCCCCCCCCCCCCCCCCACGACACCTCTCGCTCCAGGTTTGACTACAGTACCCAGAGCGCACTGCGCCGCTCTCCACTCTCCCTCGCTCTCCGCTGCGCCAGTCCGCCTCACTGACTCGCAGAACCAGTTGGTTTGGCCCAGCTTCTTGTTTCCTGCCTTCTCACTGTGTGTGTGCTGCTGCTGCTGCTGTTGTTGTTGCCTGGTGTCAACCTACGCCGACGGGAGAAGAAGACATATCCCTCCCTCTCCTCTGTCAGAGGGCCGCTTCCAATTTGCCTTCACTTTCCTCCTCGCCGGCACCATTGGCTTCCGTGCCGTGCCAGTCAACTCGCCTCCTTCCCCAGCCCGAGTTGAGCAGCAACAGCTCGGAAACATCTGGCCGCCGCAGAGTGCTAGACTCCCCGTCCCTGCGCCTGCTCGCCTCGGCAGCCTGTTATGGAAATTAGTCCAAAGTCAATCTAGTTTTGTCTCCGAAGGAAAAAAGAGGGGATTTTGACGGAGGAAGCGGGGAAGACGGTGGACCTTCTTGTCTGTAAGTGCTGCTTCTAATACCGGAGTCCGATTAAAGGAGGCTCAGGAGAGAGAGAGAGGGTGGGTTACGGAGGGGAAAAAGTAGCTAAACCTTCCTTAGCATGACTGTGTTGTCTCCACGCACTAATAGTTGCTATGTTAGCCGTCCCTCCGCGGTGTTTTAGGGGCTGTTGTCATAGCACCTGGGCCTCCCGAACAACTGTAAATAGCTCAATATTGCAGCCCGTCCGCCTTACTTTTGTTAGCCGCGATCGGGCTATAGCTAGCTGCGTGGGTCAGTGTGTCTCCGTGTGTGTCTCTCCCTGTTTTTCTGTGTTTGTTGTGTCTTCTGGTAAGAAATTAATTACAATACTCCTTTTCTCGCTCGGAGACTTGTCTCTGAACAGCCTGTAAGCGGTAGCAGGAGTTGGACTTTTATGCTAATTTTTTCTCCGGACCGTCGTGGGCAGGCAGCTTGAAAATTGAGTCTTAAATTAAAACAAACTCCAGCAGACTTTCTCCTAAATTTGATAGCACTTTAGAGGTGATAAAAACGCGTCAAAGTGAGGTGAAATTGATTTTTTTTAAAGCGACTTCCAAACCGTGTAATTAAAAGAACTCCGGTGGTGAAGTTAATTAGAAGTTTAAGTTGATTAATGTGATGTTTCCCGCACTTTATTTCTGTTTTATTGACACAGTGAAATTTTTCATTACAGGAGATTACACGGCAAATATTTCTAATTAACTTACAAAATGTTGAAATGGGTGATTATGAAACAAAGAAAAAATAATATAAATGTAATTTATTTCCACATTTGTGTGCAGCTGTGATCACATTTTATTGTGGAAACTCAGTGGGCGGTGTTGCTATTATTTTATTTAAAAAAAAAACATAACTTTATTTACAGCCAAAATAAAATAGAAAATAAAAGTTGCAGAGTTGTAAACGTTACAGAAAGTTTGCCCAAAACGAAAGCGAAATACAGCCGTTATAATAAGTGTAATAAGTTTCTCCCCGGCTATTAAACACCCTGCACACCTTTTGTTTTGCCCTCACTGGACTCTTTCGGCTCATTTTTGTCACCCAGTGAGTCGTTCGAAGGGTCCGGGCAGTGGTGGTGGTGGTGTGTAGGGGGTGGTGGTTGCTGGATACATGGATATATGGATGGATGGATGGATGAGCGGATGAATGAGTGAATACAAGACGAGTTAGCGGCGCTGAACCGTAAAAGAGTGGAAAACAATATCAGCTGCGTGCGTCTGTCAGTTGCAAATGTGCCGTGTTGGCTTTTGTTTATGGTAACTGGAAGGAGAAAAAGACAGAAGGAGAAGGACAGAGAAGTGCATTTCAAATGATTTTAGACGCCAGGTAAAAGAAAAGTTGTTTGTGTGTGTGTATGTGTGTTTTTTTAGTGCGTAAACTTTGCATTTCCTTAATAGTTTTGGTGGCAGTTGCAGCTTAGTGATTTTGATGTGTAAACTCCAAACACCAAATCCCAGAATATTTTAGCCGACTTGTGTTTTATTTCCCAGAGAGAGAAAAAAAGGAGGGGGAGAAGAGAGACAAAGTTGTGCGGTGTTGGTAGAATGAAAGAGGAGTCTGGTGGCAGGAGTGTAGAGGAGGCAGCATATGGCTGTAGAAAGAGCACAGCTGGAGGTAGCATCTCCATCTGAGGATGATGTCAGAGCAGCTGACAGGCTGCCATCCACCCCACCTCCTCCTCCTCCATCCCTCCACTGCCTCCACCCCTCCCCAGTCCTTTATTGTGAGTCTCAGCGGCAGCCTGGGAGAGTCAGTGCTGTGCGTGTGTGTGTGCAGTGTGCGCACGCTGTGTGTGTGTGTGTTTGTGGCTGCTGATCAGCGCCAGTTAGGAGGAGGAGGAGGAAGAGGAGGAGGAGGGAGGTGGTATCTCGTTCCCCCTCCAACATCTCCTCCACTTTGCATCTGTCCCTCGCAGTTTGAACAGCGTGTTTTTTTTTTTTTTGCTTGCCTGCCTGCCTGCCTGCCTCCCTCTTCTTCTTCTCTCCTCTTCTACCCACTCATTGATTCAGAGAGAGCGAGCGAGCAAGAGAAAGAGCAAGAAAGAAAGAGAGAGAGGGAGAGGGCGATACACAGCCATTCCCAGCCAGAGAGCCCGGCTATTCTGCTACAGTGGAGTTAATCAAGTTGATGCATACTGCTGCAGGTATCGTTTTGTGTGTGTATGTGTGTGCGTGCGTGTGTTTACAGTAGGAGAGTCCGGGATGGTGGAGTTTTGTTTTGTTGTGGGGGATCTCCGGTGTGTCAAACCAGTGTGAGAACTGCGTGAAACTGCTGGCGAGTGCTTCAGAAGTAAACGGCAAAGGTAGCCGGTGCTGCCTGTCTGAGGGGTAATTGCAGCCCGGGAGCAGTCTGCTTGTTTTTAGCTTGCAGTCGAGAGGGGTGCATTTAAAACTTAAGCTGCTGCTTCCTGTTTGAGCTGTCAGACGTTTTGTCGGGACACTTGTTAATTGAAAGGGAAGTGTAGTTTTTTGCAGTTTAATCGTGATCATAAATCATAAAAGTAAGTCTCCTTTGAAATATAGTATTTAGACATTTTAAGAGAAGACAATAAACACACATTTTAGCTAATAAATAGGCTTAAAAAACCCTAGAATAAACTGAGCAGTTATTTAATCTGTATTATCTACTTTACTTTTTTCCTGTTGATTCTAGCTCGCTGTAAAAATTACTTGAAAGCATGTGCGGTGCGCTCTACCCATTTTCCCCCTCCTGTCGGCTGGAGTAGAGGAGACTAATTTAGAAGTTGCAGATTTGAGCTGCCTGAATTGGCTAGACAGCTGTAATCGCACTCCCTCCTAGTCTTAATCTCTTTATCTGGCTAGCAGCTGCCATATGGCCCCCGTCAGCTGGATCAGATGTGGGTAAGCCTCCCTCCTCGGCCGTCCCAGCCTCTCCCTCACCCTCTCCCTCCCTGACTGCCCCTCTGTGTGTGTCTCTCTCAGACCCCTGCCTGAGCTGGCTGGCCGGGGCCGGGTGGGCTGGGTGACTGGGCTGCTGCCCTCCTGAGTCTCCGCCGGCGGCTCCCTCCCCACCGTCACCACCGTCGTCTTTATTTTTAGCCATCTTTAAGGATTAGGATTGATGCTGTGACGAGCAGGGCACTTACAGTGATTGTATTGTAAATCTTCTCTTCTGGGTGGTGGTGGGTGGAGGGGGTTGAGGAAGAGGGCAGTTTCTACTATGGGGCGGATGTGCGGGGTTTTTCTTGTAAGATTCAGATGGAAAGGAGTGCATGAGTGACGGCTGGTTTATATGTGTGTGCGAGTGTGTGTGTGTGTGGAAGGAGGAGGTGGTAGAGGGGTTTGGCTGGACAGTGGGGTGGGGGGGAGGTGGTACACCCTTGTCCCTGTAAGTCCCCCTCATTAAAAGCAGTCTGAACAAGCCGGAGGGCGAGCACACACACACATGCACATCACACGGACGCACACACAGTCTAACACACTGACATTCTTGGTTTAGCTTCATTCAAATGAGGTGATTTAACTGCTTTGGTTAACACAGTGCAGAGCGGGACCAATGTATTTTCTCAGGCAGGACAAATCGACTTGGCTAACAGGTGGGACCTTTTACACATTTCTTTTTTCTTATTGTCTTCTGGAATCAAAGGTTTTTTGCACAATTAGTTGGTAATTAATTTTATTAATTCGATAATTTCCAGCAAATCTTCTCTAAGAACACCTGCAGAGCATTGATGCAAATTTCCTCCCTTTTTTTCCCTCCACGTCTAATCTCACACCTAAAGCCGAAGCTCGCAGGTTAAACAAGGGACAAGCTGTTTTGTTTTTGACAGTGCTGTTTCAATTGGCCAGTTTTGCTGCTCGACTTAGCCTGTGGAGGTGGTTGGTAGGTAGGCTGGTACTAAGTGTGTGTGTGTTGTGTTTTATATGTGAGGACAGCGTGTGCAGCTGAAAGCCGGTTACCTAAAAGGGCTGTGCCAGGCCAGGCCAAAGTGGGTTAATAAAAATAACCAGCGTAGGAGCAGCGACAATCCAGGAGTGCAGGCAGAGGAGTTGGAGAGATACAGAGAGTGAGAGCGGAGAGACCGAGTAGAAGAATCGGTCGCTGGTGGTTTACCTGAGATTGAGTCTTTGTCTTGGTACAAAACTGAGTTAGTGGTTTTTCTTAAATGAAACCATAAATTGTATTTTCTTTCTATTTTTCTTGTCTACTTTTTATTTATTTTAAATTAAGCAAGTAATTGGAGCAGAAAATGAACATTTGGTTTGATGTATGAAGGAATGTGTGCACGACTTTACGAGAATTGTTTCTGTCGATGTTGGGATGAGGAGTAAAAAAATCCGGGTTGTGCGTAGGTCATGGCTTATTTTAGTTAACTTTTTATGTGTTTTAAAATTATTATTTCATGTGTTACTCTTCCTGTTTGTGCCTTTCGTGTTTTCTTGTCTTTTTCTTGTTTTGTTGTCACCGTCGTTATATCAGATATGTTTTTTTACTGATTCTCTCTGTCCTTGTGTCTCTTAATTTTTAATCTTTTTGTGTTTTTTACCAGATTTAATACAAATTTTGTTCACAGAAATTGTGGCGTTAAAAGAAACGTCTTAGTGGTGATAAAAACTAAATCATGGTCTCTCTGTTTAGCTTACGTTTTTAACTTGTTTTCCACCTTTTTAGATTCCATAGTTTTCTATTGCTCCTCATTTCATGTAATCTTGGTTGCCTCTTGTTTACCTTTTAATTCTTTATATTTTGCATATTTATGCTCATGGAAAGGTTGTTTTTTTTAATTACACCCCCTAAATGAAATCATTAAAATAACAAAAAATAAAAACTGTAGGTTTAAAATGAAAGACATCTTTGATACTTTACGAGATGTAATTAACTTTGACGCTGTGTCTGTGTGTGTGGCTTCAGGTTATGAGGACGGCAGGATGGAGTTCCCAGACCACAGCAGACATTTACTCCAGTGTCTGAGCGAACAGCGGCATCAGGGCTTCCTGTGTGACTCCACGGTGCTGGTGGGCGATGCCCAGTTCCGTGCCCATCGTGCTGTGTTGGCCTCCTGCAGCATGTACTTTCACCTTTTCTACAAGGACCAGCTGGACAAGAGAGACGTGGTGCACCTCAACAGTGACATTGTCACAGCTCCGGCCTTTTCCCTGCTCCTGGAGTTCATGTATGAGGGCAAACTGCAGTTCCAGGACCTTCCCGTGGAGGATGTGCTGGCAGCAGCCAGCTACTTGCACATGTATGACATTGTCAAGGTGTGTAAGAAACGTTTGAAGCAGAAGGCCACAGCGGAGGCAGACAGCACGCGCAGAGAGGATGACGGTGGGTCCAGCTGCTCTGATAAAGCCGATAGTCTATCAGACAGTTCCACAGGCCGGCCTGCTACTGCCGACCTGCTGCACAGCGATGAAGAGGAGGAGGGAAAGGCAGAGGGAGGGCCGCTGTGGCTGAGGCTGCCGTCTGCAGACAGACCAGGGACACCAGCTATGGCTACAACCAGTCCAGGGCAGGGTGAGACGGAGACGCAAGCAGGGGAAGGCCTGGGAGAGGGAGGAAAGCTCCTTTCTCCGGCCGGCAGCCCCACCAGCTCCACTGGATCTCTCTCCCAGAGGTCCCACCGCTCCGTGAGCTCTCGTGGGGGCCACAGGGGTAGGAGGGTGTCAAATGATGCAGCTGACTGCGTCCTGGACCTGTCAGTCAAGCCAATTGCAGGTAGCAACCACACTAACCACCACCAATCCTTTTTCAGCGGAGCAGCTACACCAGACAGCCTCCAAAGCCCATTGGCTGTTAGGGTAAAGGTAGAAAGGGGCGTGGCTTCAGATGAGGAAGAGGAACTGGGAGGTGGGGACTATGACATGGAGCATAGCGGCCTCACCAAGGCCACGGTTCCTAACACCAATGGGGGCCTGGCCCACCACGGGGTCGGAGGGCCCTTGTCGGCCCAGCGGAGGCTCGGCCTGGAAGCACACCTGTCTGCTCTGCGAGAAGCCTCCCTGGCCTCAGAGCTGGAGCGGGAGGAGAAGCCTCCAGCCACAGCAGACGATGAGGACATCCTGGGGGGCGAAAACGAGCGCGCTCAGGCTGAGGCGGCCAGCATGGATAGCTCGCTGCTGCCTTACGTCTCCAACATGCTGTCGGCTCAACACACACAGATCTTCATGTGCCCGCTGTGTAACAAGGTTTTCCCCTCACCCCACATCCTCCAGCTTCACCTCAGCTCCCACTTCAGGGAGCAGGAGGGCATCCGCGCCAAGCCCGCCGGAGACGTCAACGTGCCCACCTGCAACATCTGCAGCAAGACCTTCTCCTGCATGTACACGCTGAAGCGCCACGAGCGGACACACTCCGGTGAAAAACCCTACACCTGCACCACCTGCGGCAAGAGCTTCCAGTACTCACACAACCTCAGCCGCCACGCAGTGGTGCACACGCGTGAGAAGCCTCATGCTTGCAAGTGGTGCGAGCGGCGCTTCACGCAATCCGGGGACCTCTACCGACACATCCGCAAGTTCCATTGCGAACTGGTCAACTCGCTGTCAGTGAAGAGCGAACCTCTGGCGCTCCCAAATGTCAGGGATTGGGCGATCGAGGACAGCTCCCAGGAACTGTGGAAGTAGAAACAGACTTCTAGGTTTGGTAAAGGGAAAAAGACGGAGAGTGAAAGAAAGGCAGAGAGGCGTGGGGAGGTTAGAGGGAGGCGGCAGAGTTTGATATTCGGGGTTTAAGTGAGTCACGTTCTTGTTTGTTGCAACATCTCATTCAATAGCACTTTAATAGCACATGAAAATGTTACTACTGAGTTGTTTTTCTTTTCTTTTTGTTCCTATTTGGGGTAATTTTTGTTTTATTCTATTTTATTCTGAATCCTCATTTTTATTTCGCGCAAGTTCTCTCCTGTTGGTGGTTTTAATTGCGTCTCTGGACACGGGTCCCAGTGAGAAAGTCTCGCCTTTTTGAAGAGATTTCACTCTGTTTGTGTTTCATCCCAGACACAACACTCCGATGCTGGCCAGCGTATCGGTCCCAGTTCCACAGACAGCAAAACACCACTGCAGGAGTTCAGGTCGAACACACTGAAGTGAAAAAGCATTACAATACACTAAACGGGTACTGTGATCACCACAAGTCGACGCCACCAAACACACAGTTTGAATTAGCGTGCGCACACGCGAGTGTGTGTGTGTGTGGTACTGCACTACTCTGGCAAAAATTTCACCTAACGTGCGTGAGTGTGTATGAGTGTGTTTTGTGTGTATTGATTTTATTTTCTACTGGCACGGAGGTGTCGTTGGCGAAGCGCTCCCCGCTTCTCTTGTTAAGCTCTTTGGTGTTGTGTGTTCAGGGGAAAGCTGACTGACTGACAGATAAACTGATGGCACTCATGCAATGCACAGCCTCCTTTTTTCACTTCCAGTCAATTTGAAGTATTTTCTAAAAATGAAAAGACCTTTACAAATAATTATTAATTATTATTGTTATCGATAGAATTTTTTTCTTAAATCTAGCTGGCAGTCTTTAAAACATCTCTTGTTGAAAAGTTATTTAATTTAAGGTTGTTGTATATTGTTCTGATATAGTTTAAAAACTTTAATTCTTTGCATTTTTTTAAATTAATGATTATTATTATTATTATTTTGTTACTTTTTTTGTAATGGGACCTGCTGTTGTTGCATGATGTCCAAACCTGTATATTTTAAAATAAAAAATGTGAATTTGCTGTATTACTGTACACATTGTAATTGATCAAATATTTGACAACGGGCTTTCCTTTTTTTTTCTTTTCTTTTCTTTGTGAATACTATCCAGGGTGCGGTCTGTTGAAAAACTGAATATTATTCTCACGACTATGGAAAAAAAAATGCATGAAATTTTGATTTTGTCTTAAACCTTTAAGTTGTGGTTTTTGCATCGGGGAGGGGGAATGTTTGAACCGTACACTTTTGACAGTGAAAAGTCGGATATTTTGTACTCGCTGGGATCCTAGAAGAACGTTACCGAATGTGTTTCCGTCGGATGTTGAAGCGATATGATGAAGCATTTTAAGCCTGTGTCTATATGCACTGATCTTTCTGCTGCACGCGTGTGTGTGTGTTAATGCGTGCGTGCGCGTGTGTGTTTACGAGCGTGTGACTCGGTTAGCACCAGTCAATTTAACCTACTGAAGATCTACGTCCACCCAGCACTTCCTCCTCTTGCTCCTCCTCAGGCGTTAAATGTCTCTACTGCTATAACTTTTGTGTCCGTCCTCACCAGTTCTAAACGCGGTCGAGCCATTTCTTAATTATTTCTGCAGATTTGGGCTCTCGTTTCAGGTCTGTTGAGTGCAGTTTTTTTAAAACATTTTTTATTAAATTGTGGCTTGGCTGAAGTGTGAAGGATACGGAGGGAGGGAGTAAGGAAGGAGCGAGGCTGAACCTGAGCTGTCCTGCTGAAAGTTGAAGGGTCAGATATCTCTGCCACACTGTTGCTTCACGCTGAGCCGAGCTGTGCTGAGCTGAGCGGGGCCGTTAAACTCACTCAGCTCAGTGCAGTGTGCATTTCACATTAGGTGCAGCGGATGTCACGTCTGTGTGTGCGTGCGTGTCTGTTTGTGTGTTTCCTTTTAAAGCATAATCCTTACTTTGAGATGGATGGGAGAGAATTGGCATGCCTGAATGCACCTTTTTAAGCTTAAAGACATGAAATCAGATTTTTTGCTGAAAAGATGCCTTTATTTAAAAAAAATAAAAATAAAATTACATTTCTGATGCTGTGATGTATTTGATACTGTAAAGCATTGAGAAATGGCTGTTGAAAATTTTGTGTAAATTCTTGGAATTTATTGAATTTATCTATTTTGATCATGTGATTAGAAAACTCTTGTATGTAAATGTTGCGTTTGGGTCAGGGCTACATCAGTTTCTTCTTCTTTTTTTCTTGTTTTTATTGAAATTTCAAAATAATTGGTCGAGCGTTTATACAATCCAAAAACATTTTTCAGAAAGATACTGACACTCCACATTACCCCCCCCCTCTCTCACTCACTCAAATATGTATGTGTGTGTGTGTTAGTGTGTGTGTCCCCGCAGATGTGCATGTGGTGGGTGGGGTATATGTACATGCCGCCCCGTCATCTGGTGGCACCTACAGGCTCTGCCAATGCAACAGTGTGGGTGACATTGCGACAGTTTGCACCACATCGTCTCATTTTTGTCCCGAAATGTTATTTCTTCACTGGCAGCGTCTCTGCATATGGGCTCCCTCCATCCTGCTGTTGTTTTCATCATTACTGCTGGGGGGTTTTTTCTCATTTTTTTCCCTCCCCGTTCTGTTCCTCTGGTTTTACTTGACCGCCTTAAACTGCTGTAGTCCGGGCTGTTATTTTATTTTTAAAAGTGTGAGTGTGTGGGGTGGAGTGGCGGGAGTGATGTTAACCACTCAAGACGCTGTGAAGTAAACCACCCCGACTGGACATCTCCATCTTTTTGCTGTGCTTACTTGAAAACAAAAGGGGATAGATTGGGGGGGGGGGTTTGTTGGTTTTTTTTTAAGTAAGGTATAAAAATAAATAAAATTAAAAAAAAAAAATCAAATGTCATGGACAGTTTATGGTAAAGAACATGAAGGGTTGGAGGGTGGGGAGAGGGCATGAAATGACTGAGTCTGTTTTGAAAAAGGACAATCACTGTCTGGGGGGGGGGGGGGGGGGACAAGCAGATTTCAATTGAGATCTATTTACTCCCTGTTGAGATTACAATTTTTTTCCTTTGCTTTTCTTTTATGTTCCTTTTTTCAGATTTAGTCATTTTAGCTTTGACAATCATAGTTGGGTTGATTTTTTTTCTCTCAAGGGGAGTAAATTCTAATTGTGTTTAGTTTTGTAATTTTTTGGTGTGCTGTTGTTGACATTTTTAAATTGTGTGCAAACTGCAATAAATTATAAGAATCTTGAAATTCAACCCATGTGTGTGTGAAGCTTTTTTCTTTTTTGTGTTTAACTTTACTCATAAAAGTCACAGTTTCCTCGCTGCCATTAAAATAATGAAGATTAACGACATTTAACTCTGTGTGTGCGCGCTCACGAGTTACAGGTTGCATGAGGGCCAGTTGGGAGGTCTTGGCATCCTGCTCTGCAATGACTTGTCATGTGGGTGGAAGCTGTGCACGTGTGTGTGTGTGTGTCTGAGAAGCTCTACAGCGAGTCGTGCCTGGACACAGCGTGGTGGCCTGCACACTCGCTGTGTGTGTACTCACACAGCTCCTGATATATATCTGCAGCACTGGCTGAAGTGTAGGCTGCATTTGAGAAGAAAATGTGCAGCAGCTTGTTGAGATCCAATCCCCTGCACCACACGCACACAGCCTCTTCCTAAAGGTTCTCAGGCACAAGTTTCCAGTAAAGAAATCAGCTTTAGCTAATGTCTTGCTGCTCAGTAAACCGGCTCTTACAGATGCATTAAAAGCCCCTGCACTCGGAGGCCAAGGAGCAGCGTTCATTAGGCCACAGATGGCCACTTCGATAAGCCCCCAATGCACACTCACGTGATAAGCTCACTCCTAATCTTTATGACATTGTCCCCTGTCTGATGAATGCCTAATGTCAGTTTAAGAAACTTGGAAGTGTTAAAAAGATTTCAGTGTGGCGTCCACTTCAAGGAAAGTTCAATATTTCAACTTTGCAGCTATTTTACTAGGTGAGGTTACTCACAGTGGCTGGCCATTATTTGGAATATATTTATTTTATTATAAAACTTGTCAAAAAACAGTAGGAGACATTTCATTTTAAAAGAAAAAACACCCTTTTTTCTCAGTTGAGATATCGAGACAATGTAAAAAAGTCTCTTTGAGATACCTTCTTTAAATCTTCAGAGGCAGAAAATACATTAACCCTCTCCTTTGCTCCTGCGCTACTTGGTGATCATTAATTGCAATCTGCAGCGTTGTAAGTGAACATCTGCTTGTAGACAACTGCGCGCTCTCTCTCTCTCTCTGTATGAGGAGGCCGTGCGAGGTTTGCTGTGAATGTAGGTCATTAATTTGTTTCTGTCCTTTGTTTACTTAAGGAAGGGGGGACAAAGGGGCAGCTGCAGAACCATTTGGCTGTGCCCAAGGCGGGCCAGCTCAACATGTTGGGAGGCTGAGACCAGCTTGGGCTCCTGTCTGGGGCCCGGGCCCCTGCACTCTGCTGGTTTGCGTGAGGGAGCGGACTCTGCCAAGCTGCCAGGGAGGACTCTCGTACCAAGGGAGGGAGGAGGGAGGAAGAGATAAAGAGAAGAGTGTCATGTGGACATGTGGAAACGTCCTGATGTTTGGCTGTTGTGTCTTGGTTTGTCTCTAAAATGACATCTGCAGGTTGAACAGAGAAAAAAAAGGATTCTTTAACTTTGGAACTTCTAAAACTCAGCTCGAGACAGATGTTTAGCATGCAAATACCAGACTGTTATGTTTTTGCTTTGTGTAGCAGTGTAAAAAGATTATTCATGTATTTATGTTCAATCCATTAAAAAAATGGATTCTCTTCCTGTGCATAAAAATGAATCTGTTTAAATGTACAGTAAAACGAAAGCTCCATAACAAACAGGATTCAAGCTTTTAGCCTTGACGAGACGGCAACGCTATTCACGCATTCATTCAGAGCTTATAGCGCAATGACGGGAGAAAAGCTTCCTGTATTCCTTCTCATGTCGGGGACTTGTTGATTTGCCATGAAAAAGGAAATATTCCCAGGACAGGTCGAAGCACAGAAGAACCGATGGCAAGGGAGCGAAAGAGGAAAGCTGGGACAAACCTTTGTGTGTGTGTGTGTGTGTGTGTGTGTGTGTGTGTGTGTGTGTGTGTGTGTGTGTGCAAGTGATCTAGGATTGTCTACATATTTAAAAGAGCGCCTTTGTCAGGCACTCAGCACAGCAGGACAGAAGGCAAGCAACAAGCGGCCTGCCTGCAGCAGACAATACAGTGGCACTACACTGGCTGGGGTGGGGTGGCTGAAATGGGGGAGGTAGTGGATGTGAGGGGGGAGGATTTTTGGGAAAATCAGGGGGCACAGTGTCCCAGCAAGCCATCCATCCATCCAGCCGCCCACCGCACTCTCGTCCCCCTCCTCTGCCTTCCTGAAAACAAAAGGCGATGCAACTCGAACTTGAATATCTGTGTGTCTCTGTGAGAAGGGGCCCCAAATACCACTTACACATAACCCCCCCAAAACCACGGCAACCCCCATGCACATCCTCCACACATACAGCTACCTCACATAAGAGACTTATTGATGAGCAATTTTCACACGTTTGCAAGAAACACACATTAGTAACACAGGTTTATATAACCTGTCATCTAGCACACACACACACACGCACAAGCACAAACACAAAGGCCTCCAGCTGGTATGTCTTCAGGGCTGGGCTACGATGGGATTAAACAGTACTTGTCCTTTGTGTAATTCTTGTATGGAAGGAGAGCAGCCATGAACTCTCAACAGAGACAGAATGGTAATGAAAAAGGAGAGAAAGAGAGAGAAGGAGATGGAGAGACAAATCTTTGAATCACAAGGACTTATTTGAAGACGAGGCGTTTGCGATAAAGAGCCAGATTAATTGGATTTAAGGTTAAAGCAACAATGAAGCCCCACAGGCAGAAATGAAAGCTTCTCTTTCATTCATCACCCTCCACACTTCTGCCAGCCTCTCCCAGCTGTGCGTGCATGTGTGTGCGCGAGTGTGTGTGTGGTAGATAAGGGGCATTAACAGGGTGTGTTCGGGGTGTTGTTGTGAACTGCTGGCACCGGTACACATGTGCGCAACTCAGCACTTTATCACCGCCATGGTGACCTGATGAGGTCACGCAGGGAGAGGACCTTTAGTGTCACTAACTCAGCCTGTCGGGCTGCTGCTGTCTTCTGTGGTAACGCTGTTACTTTACCGGGTGTGTGTGTGTGTTTGTGGACATCTGCTGCACGTACCTGCTGAGCTGTACACATGTATAAACACACACATACACACACGGGCGACGAGCGAGCAGCAGTTAGCCAGCTGTGGCGGTGTTGCGGAAGAGTCAAGTTCATTCTCCCTGTCGTGTCTTTCCTCCTGCTGTAACGCAGTGGAGACGTGATAAAAGAGACAAACTGCAGTCTGGGTAATAGCGTAAATCCCTGCAGTTGTGTGTGCAGCTTCTTATCTAGCAGATCCCAAAACTCACAGTCCAGTTTGATGTGTCTCAGCGCTGTCAGGATGCGGTACATTTTCAAATCAGTAGGAATAAGGCACAGTGTGTGTCTCACATCCAACTGTCAGTTTATAATAATAGCTAAATGTTTAGGGTTTGAAGCTACAGAGACGTGCTGTCAAAAGAAGGCATCAGCCCATCTCAGCTCAGTGGTTCAATAGAATTCGAACAAAATGTGCAGTGACTAAGTTGATTTAGTTTTGTTATGAGAAGCGTACACACAACACACCTGTCCAAATATTCACACAAGAGGAAACAGCAAAACAAAGCACAGGTTCAGTCTGAAATCTATTCTAACAAAGAGGAAGGTAGAAGGTAGCACTTTACATGGATGCATCACGTATATGCAATAAGCCATACTTGTGTTTAAAAAAAATATTAAGTGTTACAGATACAACAATATTGTTCGTTCACAGCTCCTATATAAGAAGATAACAGTTTATTGACTCGATGACTGCAAAAAATGAAAAAACAAAACAAAACACAGATTCAACAAAACAAGCTTAGTAAAGGTTAAAAAAGGAGAAACTAGGCACGTTATTTAAACAATTATTTAAATAAAAAAATGCGTTATTAAACATCGTTGTTCCTTCATGTTTTTGAACATGTTCATGTTGCACATTCACACAGAGGAATATTAACACATAATGTACTCACTTTAAAACACACGGCCAACAGGAGATCAGACGAGGCAGATGGCTGCCCTCCCTGAGCCTGGTTCTGCTGAATGGTAAATGGACTGGTTCTTATATAGCGCTTTTCTACTCTGTCCGAGCACGCTTTATACAGCTAATTCATTCACCCAATCACACCAGCACTTCTAAGCTTAAGTGCTAAGTATTTAACATTCATACACATTCACACTCCGATGGATGCATCGGAGAGCAACATGGGGTTATTATCTTGCCCAAGGATATTTGGCATGCAGACTGGAGCAGCCTGGGATCGAACCACTGACCTTCTGGTTAGTGGCTGATCCGCTCTGCTACCTGAGCTACAACCACCCCTAAAACATGCGGCCACCCCTGCTGAAGGTTTCTTCCTGTTAAAAGGGAGTTTTTCCTTCCCACTGTCGCCATGTGCTGGTCATAGGTTTGATTGTTGGGGGTTTTCACTCTATTAGAGTAGGCTCTTTACATATTAAGGGCTTTGAGGCAACCGTTGTTGTGATTTGGCGCTATATGAATAAAACTGAATTGAACTGAATGAATTTAATGTAAAGCTATATATGCACTGCGCTTATATTTTTAACTGTGAAAATGTTACCTACATTGAATTTGTCTGCTATTTGAGAATAATGGACGGCTGTGTAAAGTCATTTATGACCCTGAAAATATATGTATATATATTCTGACATTATAGGGTGGGTTGGTTGCATGTTTGAATGGACGGATGGAAGATTTTATTGTAATTTTCCACTTGCTAATCATTACATTTTGCAGTGCACCAATGGTTAACAGACACAAAGATTTACTGCTGCAGAAGCTTGCATCCTCATTCTAACTGGTTTTGCATAATAATTGTATAAATTAATTACACTGATGATTTAGATATCTGTCATAGATCACTGAGACAGGAGAGGCATGCTAAACACAAATACAGCCATCGAAGAAAGAAGTGTTCCTATAGAGAATGAACTAGGTTACAAGCCACAAAGTTGCACAGGGTAAAAATAATCAAATTACACTTCTTTCAATGAAGTTTTGTTGCACTGTCAAAGTAACATCATATATGAGTAGTT